ATGTTGATCTTGTATCCTGCCACTTCTCTCAAACTCTCCATTAGTTCCAGTAATTTTCTTACTGAGTCTGTGTGTAAGGTGATATCATCTGCAAATGCAGTTTTACTTCTTCTTTGAAAATTCAGATGCCTTTTATTTTCCCTTCTTGCCTCTTTGCTCTAGCAAAGACTTCCAGTACAATATTGAATAGGAGTGGTGATAAAGGGCATCTCTTTTCTGGTACCTGTTCATAAGGGGAATGATTTCAGTCCTCCCCACTGAGAATGCTGGCCACTTGTTCTGTATAATGCCCTTAATTATGATGAGGAATTTCTCTTCTACTCCTATTTTGTTCAGCGTTCTTATCAGGAATGCATGTTGGATTTTGTCAATTGCCTTTTCTGTGTCGACTGATATAATTGTGTGGTTCTTTACCTTTGTTTTATATATGTTATGAATTGCATTGTCAAGGAAAATTTTTAATTCTACCTTTTTATATGCTAGTATCCTCTAGAAGTCATTTTCACTATTAAGATTTATGTATCAATAGCAGTTTTCTAGTTCAGAGACACATTTTAAAAAAAAAGGCAAGATTCAGGTATAAGGATTTTTGTAAAAATGTCTTGAAAGATTAAACAGAACATAATGGTGATGATGAAAGGTAGAGGAGGTACAATGAAAGGGAAGAGAGGTGGAAGGTCATATATAAATGTATGGACTGAGATCTGTTCCCTAGTTCTTTTAGTTACTGAGATGAGTCCTGCTATGGACATCCCACAGTTCTAGAGAAGTACTGATGAGCACTGTTTCAACCAGCACTGCAAACAGCATTTAAGGTAGTGCTACATGATGAGGCTATACCTCCCGAATGAGACAAAAGTAGCAAAGGATAAGAACAGCTGAAAGACATGATGCTCTGGGAAATCCACTTGACCTACTCCTATGGAAAGAAAATCAGTGATGATAAAACAAGCTTTTTATTTTTTTAATGCAAAAGCATTTATCCTTGTTGTCTGGACCTCTTGTGCACCTCTGTGTCTTCCTTTTCCTTAGTGTTATTGAGTTGGTCACTCACTTTTGTTATATTGCCTTTCTCTTCATCCAAATCAAGTTATTTTTTGAGCAACGGATAGATACGTTTTTTAAATTAATACTAATTGAAATTGTCTAACTAAAATTTCCAAGGTAGTAATTCTCAAACCTGAACATTCATCAGAATCACATGGAAGATTTGTTTCTAGACCCTGCTCTCAGAATTTCTGATTCACCAAGTCTGGGATTGGGTCTGAACACTAGCATGTCTTAAGTTCCCAGGTGATGCTAATGCTGCTATCTAGGAACCACACTTTGAAAGTCACTGTTCTAAGGTACACTATATGGAGTTGCTGATCTGTGAATTTTAGGATACCAGGAATGTGACTTAAAAATTGGCTGAAAAACATAAGTATATTTTCACCACTCCATATTTCCTCCCTATAGTAAACAAACAAAAAGTTAAAATTAAAAACATGAATAGCAATTATTATTATACTGAAACTTTTTTGTAGAGAAGACTTTTAAAATTAATTCATCCAGAAGCAGTGAGGACCCCTAGTTCATTAGAGAATATCCTTGACAATAGTATGTATTTCCTTTCAAATTCTTTAATGGAAATCTAGGTATCAGCATGGTATCAATCCTGCATTTTTATCCATACTGTTATCATGATGGAATTCCCCCAAAGTCCCACTTTAAACACAAAAACATACGTAAGTTGATGAACATTTGGCTGAGGTAAAGGTTGAGTAATTCTGCAAATAGTTCCCTTTCCTCCCATCTTTCAGATCCCTGGAGGCCTTTCCCAGGGACTGGGGTATAAGAGCTGGACCTCATCCTACTTCCAAAGGCCGTATCAGATAAAAAGCCTTCTATACAAACTACACACGTCAGCTGGGTAAAGAGATCAACAGAGCAGTCTGGGACAAACTCCAGTGGGTGATCCATGTATCTGGCTAACACTGAGTGGTGTCTTAGTAATCAGAGAAGAAAACATTTTTATAAAGAAATTTATTGCATAATTTCTGTATACAATAAACATTGGAAAAGGACTTTCTCAATGAAAAGTTCATGTCATTTTTCAAAAGTTTTCAATTGTTTGAAGAAAAATTATTACAAAGGTATCTAAGGCAAAAACAATATTCAACTTTCAAAACAAATGATAACAATCCCTTTCATTTTTCATATTTAAAGCAAGTCATTTTATATATAATTAATATGGAGAGGCTTTCAAATTACAATGTCATCTGCATTCAGAATTTAAATGTATCTAAGAAGTGAAAAGTTGAAACACACAGAAATATTCTGAGACAATACATACAGCAGCTTGATTTCTTCTGCATGACTATGCAAGTATGCTTTACAGAATCCTCTATCTTCTAATGGGACAGTAAGGAATCTATTTTGTCTTATGTTAAATGGTGTAACTCCCACAGATCACATACATCTCACCATATTGACTCAGTTCATTGCACTTTATATCCTGCAAAAATAAATCTAGTGCTCAACAGCTGGCATTACTGCTCACTGACATTTTAGTAATATTTCTGTAACATAAGACAGAAATATAGTGAAATTTGATACCGCTTAAACCCAAACCAAACTCCAAACTCACTGCTGTCAAGTCAGGTCTGACTTACAGTGACCCCTATTTGGGTTTCCAAGGTGGTATCACTATGGAAGTAGACTGCCCAACCTTCCTTCCAAGGAGTGGCTGGTGGATTTGAACTGCAAGCCTTCTGGTTAGCAGTCAAATGCCTTAGGTAGTACGCCACCAAGGACTAGGGATTAGAAAAACAGCTTTTTTGAGGGGAATAATAAGCTCCACATTAAAAATGAAGGAACAATGACAATCCAAACTCTGTGGGAAAAGGGAAGGAACCCCTCATTTATCTTCCTTGTCTACCCTAACACTATAGTTCTTGTCCAACAGACCCTAGAGAGGTCACCATACATAGCTAGAGCAATGTGAGAAGTTCTGTGTGTAGCCCTAAAGGATGGGTTGTGACAAGAATGTCCTGGGAGACTCACTTCTTTGCCCCCATGTGAGCATCCTTGGACTTCTGGGATATGTGGCTCCCTCCATGCCCCTAGGCAAGTTGGGAAAGTTTTCTAGGATGATCTGGATGCTGAGGCCTCAATGGACTCTGTTTGGTCTTAAATTTTACATCTGATTGCTAGAGAGGAATGAAACCTACAAATTCCTATTGACTCCAGGGCCTGAAGTGACATCCTTGGAGAGACAGGAAGAAGAACAAGACTTGTCTGGAAATGTAAAGTTGTAGGTAAGTGACAATGAAGAGGCAACAGGATGCTGCTAGAGTCTCACCAAAAGGTGCTTGCAAACACATGAAGAATGTAGACATAATGACACTGACATTCTGATTTGTCACAACTTTTCATTTTAATTTCTCATTTTTTCTTTAAAATTGGCAAGTAATTCTCTTATTTTTTTATCTTGGTGCTCACAAACAAAGATGTCAGCTTTTCAGAAGCTTTTGAAGGTTTACAAAAAATAATATATTTTTAAAAAACTATATTTCAGAATTATCATTCAAGACTATGGACACAATGTATGTCATTTCATCAATTGTACCTTCACTCCTTACTTCAGTAATATCACCACCATCTTTCATATCTGTGAGAACCTTATTGTGCACAATGACATCCATTCCACCAGACTAAATACTATAAAGCAACTGAGCAGAGCTCTCAGAGTAAAACCAGCCATATTGCTACAAAGAAAAATTTCTGGCTTTTGGCCCAACTGTTTCCATACCAATCAGTTAAGTCAACCTCCTCTCTGCTTCTTTCCATTTCAAATGCCTGTACTTCAGACTCTGAGGCAATTAGAACCAGATCAGTTTAATTTACCACTCAGTCAAACTCACTGCTGTTGAGTTGTATCCAACTCATAGCGACCCCTCCTTGGGTTTGGGAGGCAGTATCACTATGGAAGTAGATTGTCCAACCTTCCTTTCCAGGAGTGGCTGGGGGGTTTGAACCAACAGAAGTTAGCAATCAAATGCCTTAGGCACTATGCCATACTATGCTATCAGAGCTCCCAATTTACCACTACTGATCTTAATTATATAGCAGTATCATCATTTTGCCCGGAGAGTGTTGATACATTTTATAAATATTATGAGTTCCATTTTATACATAAAGAAATAGGCACAGAAAGAGTAAATGGCTTGTCCCTCATACAGCAGATTAGTATCAAGGATGAGACTTGAGCTCTGGCTATTTCTATCCCCAACATCTTTCCAGAGGGCACCTGAAGCTTTATGCGTGAGGCATATAAGCCCTTTGGGCTCTGTTTGTTACTTGTAAGTACACTGCCAGATTTCCTGCCTAACACTGTTTATTTTGGTACTTAGGACTTCCTCCTTGGTCTTCTCTGCTTCCTCTTTTTTCTGCTTCCTTGATGCAGTGTCTTATCCCTAATATTTTATATTTCACAGTGCAATTTACCAAAATGCCCTCCAGCTGCAGCTGGCATCAGGTGTGGAGGGAAGAATTTATAAAAAGGCAAGGGCAGATGTTCCTCTTTGTGAACTCTGGACAAAATGGGGCTCAACAGTTTACAGTTGTCTTATATTGCAATGTTTTCAATGGAAAATAAAATAACGACCTAATGGTGAGGTAAAGTTTACTTCTCTGCCACAATACTCGATGCGCCCCCTCAGATCTGGCAGCAATTTAACATAAGGAAAGACTTTAGACCTTCACACCCTTTCAGTGAGAACAAACGACCTTAGCTCAAACTTTCCACAAAACTAAGAAGTCTCATAAGACATCACTCCATCGCTATCTTAGGGAGATCTATACAAACGCCTTTCAGCCCTATGTCTCTCACATCTAAGTGCTTCTAAGCTCTGGTCTCTGTATTGCATAGGAGATGTCTACATTCACGTCTGAAGACCAAGTACCTTCCACCTCTTAAGGGGAAAAAAAAAAGTCAAAATCAGCTATGTTACTTGAATAATATCAAATGGTACTTAAATGGCTTTTGAAGAAGTTTCACAAACCATCTCCATCACTAAAGCTATAAACAGTTCTGGATCTAGTCAATAGCAAAATACATTGGTGGCCAAACCTCTGTTTAAGCAAAAGAAGGAAAAATACCAATAGCACAAAAATGCCTTTACACTTTTTGGAAAAATATATCTATTAAGATAGACAATATTGTGTTTTGTTGTTGTTGTTGTTTGTTTTTTAAAGAAGCTGTGCATTAAGAACACTTGGTTTCTGTTCCTCTCCATCCTACAACTCAGTTTTGTCGGCCTGGGCAGGGCTGACGACGCCACTGCCTCCCTCAGCACCGCTGCTCTCTGCGTGTGTGAAAGACAAGGAAGCTGAGTTGATGCAGTATCTTTTGCCGGTGGGACGAGGTCCATCATCAAAAATGTGCCCAAGGTGAGCACCACACTGAAAGAGAAGAGCAAAATGTAAGGGCAGAGCGTGGACAAGGCAGGCTTTCAGGGAAGCACACATTAAGCTTAAATGGATGACTGGCCTGTGGAGAAATGATGGAGACCATCGCGGATGATTTCTAATCCGCCTGTCAATAGCTGCGAGGATGGTTTCTGGCAGGCTTTGTACCACATGCTGAGGATAAGAAACACTAGAATTGTGCATATCAGAAATCATTTAGCAGCCACTGTATTTTTTGATCTGTGAAGTCTCTCAGCCAGCTGAAAAATGACTGCAGTAATTTTATGAATTGAGTTGACCCTTGATCTCCCCTTGTAAGAAACATGGCAGAATAAAATCTCTCCCCCGCCCCCCCGGTATTACTTCCGACTTTGGACGGGTGGGTTTCAGATATGCAGAAGTCCACTGTAAAGATACCGTTTTAACTGACCCTGATGGAGGTGATGTTTGCTTTCGTGGGCAGTAAAACTTAACATCAGACAAGCATTGGATGTTCTTGGAACCCAGCAAAACAATGGGAAGGCTCCATAGAGTTATGTCACCGTCATCAGGACTGCAAGTGTAGCAAAGAGAAAAGTATCTGGCCACACAATCATTTTTTCTGGCTTCAAATAGGTGGAGTGCCATGCTGGCTTCTTCACCCAAATGAACTGTAATATGTGGAGAGGGAATAAATTCTTTAGCTGAAACCCATGCCACCAACTACCCATACAGCTGAGGAAGGAGAAGAGGCCCAGAGTTCAGACAAAGCAGAATGAGAGATAGTTACGATGATGTTTAAGAGAAATCCTGCCCAGAGACATTTTCTCTAATAAAGCTGGCTCACTGAATAAAGCCCTGCACTAACCGCTCTGAAACCCGCCAGCCACTCCTCGGAAGGAAGGTTGGGCAATCCTACTTCCGTAGTGATACTGCCTCGGAAGCCCAAGGAGGGTCGCTATGAGTCGGGGCGACTCGACGGCACATAACAACAACAACAACAACAACCGCCCTGATGCTAGCTCCGACTCCAGGAGACGACAGAATATGTCACACTCACCACTTTCCCACCCTCTCAGCAGGGACAGGGGTGAAGGAAATGAAATGGAGACCTTGGTGCACCAAATTCTACAGAATGTGAAAACACATCATTCGTAATAAACAAAGAAAACCAAAGCCTGGGGTAAATGTTTCCATTCATTTGTTTAACAAATATTTAGGGAGTGCTTGCCATGTATCAGGCATTGTCATTGCCTGGACTGTAGAGATTCAGACAACGATCTGTAGCCTCACAGAGTTTATAATCTAGGGGAAGAGACAAGGAATACACAAAAAACAAGTGAACTGTAAAATACGCTGCTGTTGTTGTTATGTGCAGTTGAGTCGGCCCCGACTCATAGCAACCCCTCCTTGGGTTTCTGAGGCAGTATTACTATGGAAGTAGATTGCCCAATATTTCTTCTGAGGAGTGGCTGGTGGGTTGGAACCACCAGCCTTCTGGTTAGCAGTCAAGTGCCTTAGGCACTATGCTACCAGAGCTCCTGTAAAATATGCTAGGTAGAAGTAAATGCTAAGGATGAAAAAGAGAGGAAGGTGACAGGAAACATCAGGGTTAGGGGCTGACATTTTAGATAGGGTGGCCAGGGGAGGCCTCACTAGGGGTGACTTTGGAATAAGGACCTGAAGGAGGTGAGGTAGTGCGTATCTGAAAGACAGCATTCCAGGTAGAAGGAAGACCTAGGATTCAGGGAAGAATATCAGACGTATAGATGACTTATTGATTCTTCTCACCAATTTGATATATAAAACAGGGAAAGACAGAAGGAATTGATAATTGATAATGGGGCTAAAATACTAAATGGAGATGGTAAGAGAGAAAAGAGGAAGGGTGCTCATTACAAAGGAAAGAAGTAGATTCTCAGTGTCTCCACTGAAAGTGCCCACCAAGTCTTGAGGGTTCTTTAGTTATTAATAAACACCACACACAGCAACCATGTCTCTATGGTACTTCCATGTGAAAAGTGCATTCTTATTTTACTGCCAACATACTATGTCAGCTTATTAAAGAACCAAAAATGAACCCTGAACTGATTTGATCTATTGCCTGGAAAATATGAAACAGGCCTAAGAAACAAATCTCGCATTATTTTACCACATTCTACGCAGGTTTAGGTAATATCAAAGCTGACAGCTCAGATTGCTTTTCCTTTCTATCAACAATTGCGGCCAAATTTTCAGGCATCAGCAGCTAAGATGCACCAGTAAAAATACATATGCTTACCCAATGGGACACAAGAAAACACCCATTTCTGCCTGCCAAAACAGTCAGTGCACAGGCCAACAGGAACTAGTACTCTCAGTGACCAGTGTGTGTGCACAATTATTGACTGCACATGAGGCTCCGGCCCTTTGATCACTTGGCATCTGAGAGGTGAAGTTTTCACATAAAAGCCTCAGACAGAGATTTTAAAAGAGAGAGAGAGAGAGAGAATACAGCTATCTGGGCAAAATAAACGATATTAATCATCCCTTGAGCATAATTAGAGAACAGTTCTATTTATAATTCTCCAAAAATAAAGCAATATAAAGATACAGTTGAAGCCATTTAAAAGTAAGTTATATGGTCTTCATTTCCCAAATTAGTTTTTCAAAAACCCAAAGTTCAGTAATTTAATCTGTTGAATTGAGTTGGTTTTCAGTCTGTAGTTTCATTTGCTAACTTGTAATCAGCCTTTTGGTTCAACATAAAGTGAAACAACAATTATAGATGTGTACCTAATCCAGGCAAAAGGAAAAGGTGAAGAAGAGAAATTATTGTTAGGCAAAGGTAACAAAAATCATTTGCAGGAAAATATATGGGCTGGGAATGGGCTAAGGAAAGCCTCAGAAAAGGTGTGAGCCCCTAAAAAGATAGTGACGGCTTCATTATGCCTGTCACAAAGTGTTCTGGATGAGTCACACAAGGCTTAGATTACTGAGGAAGGATCAACATTTCAAAACATAGAAAGGTGTTAATTTGTATCTGTGCCACCACATACATGCCCACCCCCATTGCTTGCAAAGCTGCTGGGCCATCTGTCTGAGGGAAGATTTAACCATACAGTGCCATTTATGCTTCCTCCCAGGTATAGCCAGTCCACTATTACCCAGTTTCTTTTAAAAGTCTATAAGCCCTGAAGGCTCCTCTGTGGAAGGGAACGCACATGGAGCCCATTCTTTCCAGCTTCTAGCCCCGGCCGAAGGCTGGGATGATGAGTCGAAGTTGTCAGTGATGCATTGTTTCTTTAGCTGCCTGTGAGCTCTGCCTCCCTGGCCCCAGCCAACTGGCAATATGTTGGGATCTGAGCACACCTGGTTGTAACTGAAACAAACTGGTTGCCCGATGAAGAAATCTCTGAAACCTGCTGTTAATGATTTATTTCAGGGCAGAATCTTAGGTGCACATTTTGAAAGTTGGTTTTAAACAGTTACTTTTCCCCTTTATTTTACAGATAAAATAGAAAGTATAGCAGAACAGTCTAGCCCTCATCCTGAAGAAGCACAAAACAACTGCCCAAAAGAAAAACACTTTAAATTTCCACAGGAATCTCAGCCTCCCACTCAGAAAAGTTGGCAACAAAAGAACCAGTGGAGAACCAGGCGAAAGGAACCCACTGGGGGAGGGGGAAGTGACTGAACATCAAATTTAACATAATTCCTTAAACTCTGACTGCAACTCTCAACTGTGTACATAAGTAACACAAATAGTGTATTCAACACAGTCACATACTTCTGCACTGATGTATTTCCAACTGTCCTAGACAGTTTTCTCCCAGCTATTCCTAGGATGTTTTGGGCTTTATTATTGTCATTTTCTCTTAAGTGTTTGATCTACAAGATGAAGCACTTTCAAAGCAGAGCTTTTACACTTGGGCATATGGGGCAGATGGGAAGGAGAAAACAGTTTGAAGAATAAAAGCAATTTACTTTGCCAGTAGTATTCTGTTTGCTCCCACTCTTATTGAAGACACTTGTGTGTAAGTAGGGGCTCTTTTCCTCTGTGCTTATGATATTATTCTTTTGCCAAAGAAAAGATTGTGAAGTCACCAGTTTAGCATTAGGATTTTACTGAAAGATCAAGAAAAAGAGAGATGGGCTGTGAGTCTGAAATCTTATTGTAACACATGGGTATCTTTAATCATCAGCAATACATGAGTTGTCATCTGCAAAAGATTAATCAAGTTTGGGGTTTTACCAAAAACTGCTTTTTAAAAGTACTCTGTATTGGTGGATACTTAACCCTTCTGTTGACGTAGCAGACTTAGAACAAATTAGTAATGATCTAAAACAAACTTAAGGGATTCTACCATAGACTCCTTTCTTGTATTTGAAATACCAGTGGCATAGCTGCCGGCATTACAGCAGCACCCGAGCCACCACAGTATACAAACTGATCGATGGCGTTTCAAATACCAGCAGGGTCATGCATGGCGGAGAGGCTTCAACACAGCTTCCAGACTAAGACTGGGAAGAAGGACCTGGTGGGTGACTTTGGAAAAAACTGGCAGTGAAAACCTTATGGATAGCAGCAGAACACTGTCGTACATAGTCCTGGAAGATGAAGCCCTCTGGTGGGAATGCATTCAAAATACATCTGGCGAAGAGCTGCCTCCTCAAAGTAGAGTCGACCTTAATGATATGGATGGAGTAAAGCTTTCTGGACCTTCCCTTGCTGATGTGAAATGACTCAAAATGAGAAGGAACATCTGCAAACACCTGTTAATAATCAGAACACGGAATGCATGGAGTATGACTAGGAAAATTGGAAGTTGTCAAAAATGGAATGGAATGGAATGCATAAAGATCAATATTCTAGGGATTACTACTGAACTGAAACCGACTGGTATTGGCCATTTTGAATCAGCCAATCATATGTTCTACTGCACTGGGAACGACAAATAAAAGAGGAATGACATCACATTCATTGTCAAAAAGAACATTTCAAGATCTGTACTGAAATACAATCCTGTCAGTGA